CTGGAGGCCCATGAAGAAGAACAATTCTGCATAAAATTTCAAATGAGATTAGTAAAACACTAAAGTGAATTTGCAATATTGAGGACTGAACAACTCAACAACAGGTTGTAAATTTATTACTGCCTGAAATGTATATGCACTTAAAAGTGAAGAATTGTTAACACTAGTTCATAAAACATTCAGCACACAAGTCCTCCATGCACTAGAAACATAATTAGTTATGATTGAAAAATGCTTTTACATGATTAAGAAAAGCAATGTAGCAAAGGACCCTTAGAAATTAAAAGGCATGGAAAAAAATACATTGAACCAACTATAGACAGGATGCTTCTGCTTAGAACTTTTATTCAACACCATGAAAAGCTAGAGATAATCCTACGACGAGCTTGGAAGCATGAAGCATTGGTAGTGCAAGATACTTTATATTTAGTCCACAGTCCACTTAAATTTTGCAAGTCATATAATAACCAATTGGAGCATCAAAGCAGCCATCTGTATGTGAATCACTTAGTCAGTTAAACCTTTGGAACAAATAAAAACCTAAAAATTAAAAACTAAACAAAAAGTAACTTTTCCATGGAGAAGAAACCAAAGAAAAATAAATTTTAGACAGAAAGACACTGAAATCACTGACTAGTAAATAAAAATAAGAGCGTAGCATCAACAAGTCTAAAAAATAAGAAAACAAAAATATCACCTGTTCCAAGATACAAGGAAAGGATCAACACCCTTCTCAGTGAAAAGCAAAGCGCTTGCTGCATATCGCAACAACCTCTGCTTGAGACCAGATTCGTAAATTAAGCTGTAGATACAAAATGATCATGTATGCTTCCCCATCTGTTTATCTTTGGAGCGTTCAAAGAAGAAACATACCTTTCCCACATTCCATCAAATTCTTTTGCAGGAAGAATCCATTCATTAAACGTAGAAAGCTGGCCATCCCCACTCATATCTTCACATGGTCCTTCCTCATTAAGCTGAGGAATCAAATTAAAAAAGGTCACTTAAATACATAAAAAGTAATCATGAAAAGCATAATCTGTGCATTATTATCCTTTTTACTATGTTAACCTGGGATATTATCATTCTTACTATGTTGCTCTTTTATCTTTCAAAACTTTTAATTTTACAAATATTCACAATGAGACTTAATCTTGTGTGCAATGTGCAATAACGTACAGTAGATAGCTGGGTTAAATCAACAAATTGCTTTTAACTGTTTGATGCACTTATTGAAACATTGAGATGGGTAAGGGAACACACCTGAAATACATGCACAACAGGTTTAACTTGCCAGAACAAAAGAATATGACCATTCTCCAACCACATATCTACAAAACCAGCAATTAGGTGCAATGAAACTCAAAATAAGTTACACTGTCTTCTTTCACTTCCAGACGTCTTCCTGAAAATAATAGAGCTTCAAGTCTGCATCCCAACTTAAATACCTGTATCACACACACATATCCGCTGCACATTTTCCGCAAGGAGGGGATCATCAAGTGGAACTGGAATTGGACCATCAACATAGCTCATACTCCTCTTTTCCAGCATTCTGTACACAAAAATAGGCGTGCAGTGAGGCAAATAAAAGCTGATGTACAAGCAGTCAAAAGCACCTAGAAATCAATTTAACCACAAAATTCATCAGATGCAAATGGTGCAAACGATCCAATAAAATCTATAACAAAGGGCCATAAATTATTAATAATACAGAATCAAGCAGAACTTGACTAATGACGAATTCGCCAAGCTAAGCCTTTCTAATTAATAAATTAGTAAACTACGTAATGTCCTTCCAAGCAGGCAACATAAATTAGCTCTTAGTACACAATACAGAACCTGAAAATACCTTTCAACGGCTAAGCGGATATCATCTAGGCGAGCTGTACTAGAGGGGTTCAAGCAAACCTCAACTGCAAGAACAAGTTGTGAACTTTCAAACCTTGAAACTCATTTCCCTTTGGGGGGGAAAAGAAAAACAGATATACAAAGCTCAAAACTTTCTGCGATACAAAATGGAAACTCCGCAAAATAGTTCATTTGGAAACATAAAAGCTTTGTATGCAATCAATTTAGCTAAAGTAAACGGACCAAAGAGGGGTACAGATAAACCAACGACATATGGAACAGTGGCAAACCTGATACAAGGATCTTTTCTTCCTGGACCCTAGGAGCCGGAGGCGATTTTGGCAGTGGAGGCGGCTCCTCAAGTACTCCATTGTGGCCGGAGACGCCGCCATCAGGGGCATTCTCCATGGAAACTTCCATAGGAGCACTCATTTCGGAGACTTGAGCAACTCGGAAATCGGAATCGCAGTGCAAATGTGCAATCGGAAATTTGTGAAGAATCGCTAAAACCCTAGCAATGGTTCTTTTGTAAAACTGAGCGCGGGAAAGTTATTTGGTACTCCGTACTTGGTTTATGTACAAAATAAAAACCGCGAATTTTGCCTGCAATAATGATAAAATAATTTTTGCCAATTTTGCAATGATAAAATCATTTATGTAAAAAATTTTACAATAGCCTACTTTAAAATGACATCAACTAAACGTAGAAATTTACAAGGTGGTATTGTAATAGGTAACCCGTTTTTCTTATTTCAATTGATATAGTTTTGGTTTTTTATTTTTTGATACAGTTTTTCAGTTTAAACTAAATTAATTCTAAGAACATTTTATTTTCAAACAAAATTCTGAGAATATTCTCATTAGTAAGATTTTTGGGTAACTTTTTGCAGGTCAAATGAGATTTAAGAAGAGAGAAAAACAAGGTAAAAAAAAATGAAAAAGAAAATTGTCACACAAAAAAAAAAAAAAAAGGAAATTGTATTATTTACATGCGCACCTGTTGGGCAAATTATGCTGTGAGCACATGCCCACGTGCCCACCATGCATATAGTGTGCACAAATTTATATCCATAATTTCTATACCGTAGATCTATAATTTCTAGAATCTCGGCGAGCTAAAATTTATACTTTAGATTCCAATTGTTGAACCATGTTTTCACAAATCAGTCGTTATATCGTGGATAGGGGTGCACGTGCACTGCGGTCAAAACGGCGTCGTTTCTTTAAGTAAAGAAACGGCGCGCCGTTATAGTTAACGGAGTGCGAATATTTGATGTATTAATTATCGACTGACACTACAGTGTATCTAAACCGATACTGCCTCACGTATTATTTTATATATTATCAACTGAAACTGCAATTCAATTAAAGTGAAACTGTAGTTGTGTTGAAATGAAACTACATTGTATCTAAACTAACACTGCCTCACGTATTATTTTTATATTATCAACTGAAATTGCAATTGAATTGAAATGAAACTGTAGGTGTTGAAATGAAACTGTACTGTATATAAAATGAAACTGAATAACATTTCACATATTTAGGTGTATATTGTGTAATGAAGCTGTAGTTATATCGAAATGATCATGTAGTTGTGTTTTAATAAAACCATGGTGTATATAAAATAAAATTAAATAATGACGCGAAACGGCGCGCCGTTTCTTTGCTTGTGTTTTAACACTAGCGGCGCGTCGTTTCTTTACTTAAAGAAACGACGTCGTTTTGACCGCGTGCATGTGCACCGCGGTCCACGATATAACGACTGAATAAAAATGCACCTTATTTCAGTGGTCTATTTTACAATGTGGTCCATGGTCCATGGTATAATGATTGTTTAAGTTTTAAATATGCTCAAATATTACTGAAAGTCTAGACTATTTAAAGAGGCAAGTTATACTGGAGTTCTACTAATCTTTTGATAACAAAGATTCCTATTTCTCAATGATATTCTACGATCAAGACAATTGGATGAATCCCAAAAAACCATTTCACATATGGTAGGATATATCCCGACCGACTTAGCTTGTTCTCTGCATCATTCAGTACAGTTCCTTTGCCCGAGCGCCGTAGAAAGAAGGCAGTCGGTACCGGTCGTCCATATAACCTTGTGTTGACCTTTTTGCTTAAAGGCGTTCGAGTTTGCCCGGTTGATCCACTTCTCGACCGCTTTTCTGCTCGATCGACGTACCTTTGTAACACATGGAAGCGGTATCCCTGGAGAGGGGCACGTGGCAGCACCAGGCGTCGACAGAGAGTGACCACCAGGCTTTGGCACGTGGATGTTGCGTGGAATACATGCCGGTAGGTCGGAGGCTGTTCCCGGCAATGGGCTATAAATATCCACGGTGGATAAGGCGAAGGGGACTTTTGGAACGATCAACAGGCTACTTACAGAGCAGCCCGACCGCAGTCAGTCGGCCCTCGGAGTAGTCATTAGATTGTATTAGGTCATCCTTGTATTTACACTATCATTTTGGCGCCGTCTGTGGGGAATCAGTACAATTAGTCACGAACGACGAAGTGCCTACATCCCAAAAATATGTATCCATATATGCAAGATATAGGGGAGGATGCGGACAGCTCTTCCGATCATCACACACAGTATGGTCCAACCGTCGACCTGAACCTCAACCTCTCACCCCCTCACTCGGTGGTTCCTAACCCGGTCAATTATGTCCAACCGATGTATCCGCCACCTGGTCAGCAATTCCCATACCCAGGATACTTTCCACATCCAGCACCACCCGCTCCGTATGGTTACTGGCTCAGAACCCCAATGTATTATCCGCCGGGTAATTATCAACCTTACAGGTCTGCGTACACGGCTTCAGCTTATGTTTCCCCGAGCCAACCAGCAATGCAGACCGAGTTTGAGCTCCAGCTCTGTCAGGGAGGAACCACGGCAGGAAACTCATGTCCAGGCGGTAGATGAGTCTGAGCCACAGGACAATCGCGCGAGCGCGTTTGAGCGTCTTCGGCCGGCAATGCACCAATGATTGGGACCACAATACCCAGATAGGTGGTCGGTTAATTCACCTATGCACGCAGCCAGTCAAGCGGAATCATCAGGAAACAGCGAACCCCATGTACACCGTCGTCGCCGAGCCTGTGAACAAACCCGGACAGCTGAGCAAGATGACACCTGGGGAATGGTGAACGAGTTGAGCGCAGAATTCACTCGGTGGCAGCATGAGCATGCTTCGGGCCCTCCGGACCACACCGCTTCATTATTGCAGACCCATTTCATGGCCGAGATTATGGCTCAGCCGTATCCGCTCGACCTGCACATTCCTGGTAATAAGGAGTACAATGGACGAACAGACCCAGATGTCCACATCAATACCTATTATGGGAACATGCTGATGATGGGTGTAAGTGACGCTGTGATGTGTCGAGCTTTCTACTCGACGTTATCTGGACGAGCAACCGAGTGGTTTAGAACGTTGGACCCAGGATCTATCTCTTGTTTTGCCAACCTGGCGACTAAGTTCACTCGAAAGTTTGTAACCTCAAAAATCATTCAAAAGCCTTACATGTACCTGGAGAAAGCTAAGCAATTGGAAGGGGAAACTTTGATCGACTTTTTGGTTAAATGGAAAGCGGCCGTAGGTGAGGTCGAGCCCATGGATGACCTGACGGCGATCCATATGTTACACATTTCTTTGAGAGCTGGGTATTTATATCAAGACTTCATACTTCATCCGCCGACGACGTATGAAGAAGCCCTTCGCCGAGTGACTGACTATGCCAATGCTGTTAAGCGGTCTCAGGAAGTCGGGTCATCTCGAAAGCCCCCCGGACGGTCGGATAATCGGTCGGCAGAACACCCCCGATCCCGAACTCACCCGGAAGACTTCACGGCTTTGAACCGCTCGGCCGCGGAAGCCCTGCAATACGTACAATCATGTAATCTCATTCGGTTACCACGTCCTGGACAGGAAGGGAAGGATAAGTCAAAGCACTGCGCTTATCACCGATGCAGTGGGCACGATACTGAAGAGTGTACAACTTTGAGACAGTTGTTAGAGGACTTACTTCAAGCCGGTAAGTTGGATAAGTGTGTGGGAAAAAGAGAAGAGAACAAGAAATCAATTGGGAAAAGAGATCATCAGCGTTCCGATCGATATGAGCGATCGGACCATGACCAGTGAGACTCCGATCCCAAGTCTGACAGTCACCCCACGTCTAAGCCGACCATCCACGTCATATTTGGGGGTTTGGAAGATGCATCCCAAGCTCGGGAGTCCTACCCGGTCACGATTGTGGAATCCCGCGAGACCGGTAAGCGGCAAAAGATGGAACCAATCACTTTTGCGTTGGAGGATCAGCCTGAGACCGGGGATACGGGGATGGAGGCTCTGGTAGTTACGATTGATATCATGGGAGTGGATGTACAGAGGGTGATGGTTGACACCGGAAGCAGCGTGAACGTCCTTTACCTGGACATTTTTGAGAAGTTAAAGCTCGATCTCCGAGAATTGACTCCGGTCGGGGCGCCTTTGTCTGGATTTACCGGGGACACTATCCACCCCGAAGGAAAAATCATCCTCCCGGTTGAATTGGGGACTCCTCCCAAGTCGGTTAGGACGCAGATGGAGTTTGTCGTGGTCAACCTTCGTTGCGTCCATAATGTTATCCTGGGCCGCCCTGCAATCATGAGGGTCGGGGGAATTATATCCATGCCCCATCTCTGCATGAAGTTCCCCACCTCGGCCGGGGTCGGAGTGTTGCGCGGCGACGCCCAGTCAGCTAGAAAGTGTTATTCCCGATCAGTTAACCGACGAGATTCAGGCTCCTCAGGAGTGAATACCATCACCAAAGACGCTGGAAAAGACCGAAAGGAGCAACCTGAGCCTTCAGAGGAAATAGAAGAAGTCCCCCTGTCAGAAGACCGACCTGAACGGAAAGTCAAGATCGGTCGAGCCTTGACCCCCGAGCTTCGATTGGAGGTCTTAGCAATTCTTCAGGAATTCGCCGATATATTCGCGTGGGGCCCGAAGGACATGCCCGGGATTGACTGCACCGTGATATGCCATCGATTGGCCGTAGACCCTGCCGCGAAGCCGGTCAAGCAAAAGACCAAACACTTGTCCTCGGACCGCAGGGAGTTCGTACGGGAGGAAGTAAAAAAGATGGCCGCAATCGGGCACATCCACCCGGTCACCTATCCCGAATGGGTGGCCAACATAGTACTGGTTCCCAAGCCACCATATTGGAGGATGTGCATCGATTTCACTGACTTAAATAAAGCGTGCCCTTTGGACCCATATCCGTTACCGAGCATTCATCAGATGGTGGATGAAACGGCGGGGGCGGAATTGATGAGCTTTATGGATGCCTTTATAGGCTACCACCAGATCATGATGAGTCATGAGGATGAAAGTAAGACGTCGTTCGTCACGCCCGATGGCTTGTATTGTTACCGAGTTATGCCGTTCGGTCTGCGAAACGCAGGGGCCACATATCAACGAATGATCAACATGTTGTTCGAAGACCTGTTGGGCGGAACCATGGAGGCATACATTGACGATATGCTTGTTAAGAGTCGGGATCGAGCGGATCATACTCGGGACCTCCGGCAATGTTTTCAGATCATGCGGACGTATCAGTTACGTCTAAACCCTACTAAGTGTACATTTGCAGTTCAAACGGGAAAGTTTCTGGGCTACATGATGACTAAGCGAGGGATCGAGCCCAATCCGGCTAAAGTAAAAGCGATCCTTGACATGCAGCCGCCCACGACCGTCCGAGAAGTACATCAGTTGACCGGTAGATTAGCAGCTTTGAGCAGATTCCTCTCTAAACTGGCGGAACGGGCTCTGCCTTTCTTCAAAGTGTTGCGTAAGGTCAATGGGTTTACTTGGGATGATGAGTGCCGATCGGATTTCACGAACTTGAAAAATTATTTGATGTCCCCGATCGTGTTATCCAAACCCGAACCAGGGGAAGAATTAGATGTTTATTTAGGAGTGTCCGATCGAGCGGTTAGCGTTGTATTGTGCCGAACGGATCAAGAGGGCACTCAACGACCTGTGTACTATGTGAGTCACGTGCTGCATGGTCCGAAACTCCGTTATTCCTGCTTGGAGAAAGTCGTTTATGCATTATACACAGCCAATCGGGGCTGTCCTTCGCAACGCTTCTTCCTCCGAACGCCTAGTGAAATGGGCGTTGATGTTGACCCATTTCGCCATGGAATACCGACTGCGCCCAGCTATCAAGGGTCAAGCCTTGGCGGATTTTCTCGTAGAATGCACCGCTCGGGATACTCAACCTCAAAGTTTGGAAAATCCTGAAGCGGCATGGTGGACGCTGGCCACTGATGGATCGAGCAGGAAGAAAGGAGCGGGCGGAGGAGTAGTAGTCACGAGCCCGGAAGGCTTCAAAGTTTATTACGCCCTGATGTATCAGTTCACCCCCACCAACAATGAGGCAGAATATGAAGCGTTCATCAATGGATTACAATTTGCTCAGGACCTGGGGGCTGACTACATCCGAGCGCAAACAGATTCCGCCCTGGTGGTCAGGCAAGTACTCGGAGAATATGAGGTTAATGGTGAGCGACTTCAATCTTATCGGGATCTAGCAATGGAAAAACTTAATCTGTTCCGAGCGTATGCTGTCCAGCACGTTCCCCGCTTGGATAACGCTGATGTAGATATCTTGTCCAAGTTGGCACAAGATGCCCCCAAGCACATTTCCAAGATTGCTCGAATCTTAATGATTCCGAGGCATAGCATCCATCGGCTATCGGTCGTCCCAGTCCAACCGGCCGAAGAGACTTGAATTACAGATTTGATGGAATATTTGCAGCATGCCCGTCTTCCGGACGACCTACAGCGAGCTCGAAAGGCTAAACTACGGGCGCCGAGGTTCCAAGTGCAGGAAGGCCGTTTATACCGACGATCGTATGGCGGCCCCTTGATGCGATGCCTCAATTCCTTCGAAGCATAGTTGGTTATGAACGAGTTACATTCGCGTCTCTGTTCATCTCATCAAGGTGGGCGGTCGCTGGCTCGTCGTATAATGGTGATCGGATATTATTGGCCGTCGATACAATTAGACTGTGAGAAGCTCGCTAAAGGCTGTGAGACATGTCAACTCTATGCCCGGATGCCAGGTCGTCCTGCGACATTCTATCAGCTGGTCACGACTACAATTCCATTCGCTCGGTGGGGGGTGGATATATTAGGGCCCTTCCCGCAGCTATCCGGACGTCAGCGTTTTGTCATCGTCGCTATAGATTACTTTTCCAAGTGGATCGAGGCTGAGCCCTTGGCCACGATCACTTCCCAACAGTGCGCTCGTTTCTTATGGCGAAATGTCGTTTCTCAATTCGGCGTCCCTGTACAACTGATAAGTGACAATGGCCGGCAATTTGTGGGTCGGTATTTCCAAAACTTCTTGGCGACGATCGGGACGACCTCGATCCGATCATCGGTGGCTTACCCTCAGGGGAATGGTCAAGTGGAGAATGCCAATCGAACCATCCTAGAGGGATTAAAGAAAAAATTACATTCAGCCGGTCGTAGCTGGGCCGAGGAGCTCCCATTTGTACTTTGGACATATCGTACAACGCCCAGAGAGGCAACAAGAGAAACTCCTTTTGCACTAGTTTATGGCGCTGAGGCTCGGTTGTCGATCGAAGCTTGGATCCCGATGGCTAGGGAGCGGTCTTACGATGCAATAGAGAACGAACATTCTCTAGCCGTGGACCTAGATAGCGTGGAAGAAAAAAGGGAGATCCCTGCTAAACGAATAGCCGAGTATCAACAGAGAGTCAAGGGCACCAAGGATGTCCGGGTCCAACCACGCTACATCCAGGTCGGGGATTATGTGTTGCGACGACGGGAAGCAAGTCAACCCCTTGAAGGAGGCAAGTTGGCCCAAAATTGGGAAGGACCGTATGTGATCATAGCGATCGTTCGCCCGGGCACTTACCGTCTTGAAAAAAGTACTGGGAGGTCGATCGACGGAACGTGGAACTCGGAAAATTTAGTGTTGTTTCGCCACTAACTTTGATGTTTTTGTTCAGAGGGGGTGGTGCTTAACCTGCGAGTGGGCACGCCCATCTTTTTTCATGTATAAGGGAATGTTTAAGTGTTCAAACCGTCTGCGTACGGGACTCAGTTATGTATAATCGATCGTTGAGTGCTTGCTCGTCTGCGCACGGGGGCGCGGTTGATTACCATGATATGTAAATAATGTGTTGGTTGTTAAATCGATTCCAGAGTTTGATTTTGAGCGTGATTCGAATGACTTTCAACTCTCAAGACTCGACAACAACGACCGCATCGGGCGAGTGCCCAACGACTACAATGTCGCTAAAACTTGCCCGATAAAACTGGGAGAAATTATCCGGTTATAACCGATAAGGGTAAAGGCCCCGTTCGCCACCGACCGATAGGGGTAAAAACCCAACGACTTTAAAATTCGCTCACATTTCACCCGAGCAGTTCACAATACTCGACAGATAGGTCTCAGGTCCGGCGAACAGTCGTACGACGACGTCGACCGGCTAAGACATGTCAAGCGGTATGTACCCAATCGATCCCAACATTAACTAACCTTTTAACCACTGTCGCACTCACTCGTCCCTCGCATGTCCGGCAGTGTGGGGGCTAGGGTAAAGGGTCAAGTTTGAACACGCATAACGAATAAGCATAAAATGCTAAGTTTGAACACGTGTAACGAACAGGCATACAATGCTAAGTTTGAACAAGCATAACGAACAAGCATAAAATGTGAAAACGAGACAAAAGCGTAAAAATGCGAAAAATAGAAGAGCGATATGCAATGAACAATCGATCGATCCATTAAAAAATTAAAAGTTGCCCGGTATAAACGGGACCGAGTTCCCAATCGAGTTAAGATTACAAAAATTAAAGAAAAGAAGCAAGGCTCTAGGGTCGGTCGGTCGTCAATCACACAGCCTTCCCTCCAGCTTGTTCTCCCGCAGCTGGCTCAGCTTCCGATCCTGACGCGGATGGCTCGGTAAAGGGCGTGGGCCCGGGGTCGGGGATCTCGTCCGGAAGAGTGGTCAACACCGCCTTCATATCCTCGCCCTCGAAGACCTCTTCCATTATGGTCCGGGTCTCCTCCTGCATCACCCTTTGACCAGACGCATAGGCCCAGTAGCCGAAGACCCAGACCTTCTCTTTCCCGAGCTTGTTCTTCATAAGGGCTCGGAAGAACTTCTCATCTGAAGGCTCGTCACGGCAGAGGAATTTGGCGAGGCCTTCCAGATTGCCTAGTCGGGTCTTCAGCTCGCCCGCTTCCGCTCGGGCAACTCGTGCCTCTTTCTCGGCCGCCGCTTGAGCATCCTTAGCGGCTTTTAGCTCTTTCTGAAGGTCAGCGATCTCCTTGCCACGGCGCTCGGTGACCCGCTTTAAGGCCTCGGCTTCATTGGCCAGCAGGGCCCGATATTGAAGGCTGAGGAGTGCTCGTGATGCCTGCAAGAAAGTGACGTTAAAATAATCGATCTGCTCGAAAAGGTTGAAAGCCAAAAAGTCATCTAAAGAAACCTTGACTAAGTCTCGTGCCCCCTTCTCAGCCATCTGGGTCGGCGTCCATTCGGTCATGTCCTCCCCGATCGGTTGGAGATTGTTGATCCTAGCAAGGAGGGACAACTCCCTGCCCGTCTGTTCGCCGCTCGGGACGACTTCGGTCGGGGGGCTTTGCCTTCGGCGACGCTTGAGAGAGCCCGCCTATTCTACGTCCTTCCCGGACGCTTTCTCTTTTCCCTTCCGTCCGGGAGCTCGGGGGGCCAACGGGTTGGCCGCGGCGTCTGCGAGCAAAACACCCTCGGAGGTGGTCGTGGAAGCGGCCAAGGGACGCGCAACCGGGACGGAGGCGTCACCGACCTCTTGACCGGCCGGTGGAGCAATGGCAGCTGCCTTTCCCCCGAGCGTCATTTTGGCTCGGGGGCTCGAGGAGCGCTAACGGTCGAAAAACCACGAGCTGGACCCATTCCTGCAGCAAAAAAAAAAAAAAAAACAACATTAGTTCATTGTTAGTCAGTGTAAAAAGGCCGAGGAAGTGTAACGGGAGGTAGACCTTCGACGGTCGGCTCGGCTTGAGGGGCCGCTACAGCGATCGACACCGAAAGCAGTCGTGGCGTGTACTTCATTTCTACGTCATATAGGGGAGGCGGCAGTCGGGCGTTCTCGTACGCCTCTCTCGATCGAAAGATCTTGTACTCGTGAAACTCGCATGAAATGCAGAATGTTGCTTCTCGAAAGGGCTCGAGTGGCTGGTGATTGTACGTGTTTCCGGTAATGTGTCCCCCACGTTCGGTCGATCGGCAGGATCCAAGGGTCGTATTCGACCGAAAAGATCCTGTTCTTCCATCATCGGTTGTTTCCGGGAAGGTTGGCGATCGAGCATAGGTGGTCCCGGGATTGAATCATCAGGTATCCACCACCGTATAGGGCTGGCAAGGGTTTAACTATGTAAATATAGCTGAAGAGCTCCATCGTACACATAGCATTGTGCCGAGCACATATCTGCGGGAAGCATGCCAGTATCCGATGGGCGTTCGGGCAGATCTGGGCCGGCAACATCCGGTAGTAGCCCAAGAACGCGGTCAAGAGGAGGGAAAAGGGGGAGGTGATCGGGGATCTTAAGGAATCAAAGTGCATCCCGATCCATTTCCCCTAGTGCCGTTCTTTAATTCCCCCGAGGCTCGTGCAGGTATCAAACCTCACCCGCCCGTTTAGTGTGGCCGAGATCTCCGCCGCCTCGTGGGCCGACAATAGGCATTCTTGTTGCTTGATGTTTTCACTATTGACGAATTCGATCTCTTCAGGCGCCGAGTGGGATGGCCTTTCGTCGGCCGAATCGTACGAAGCTTCTCGAACACGGGGCGAAGCGGGAGCTTCGGAACTAGACTCGATCGTCCGAGTGGGCGTTTCCCGGGGCGATGCGCGAGCTTCGGAACCGGACCCGATCGTCTGAGTGGGTATTTCCCGATCGCGATCGGGCGAGGACTCGTGGTCGCTGGTGGAGGCGATGTCGCTGTCTTTGCTGCTGCCGCTCGAGCTCGACGAGTCTTCCGAGCCCCGGGAGCTTTCTTTTTGATCTCCAACTGCACTCGGTCGTTAACCGTCGTTAGTAACCTCGGGCGATCACTCTTCTATCATCGTCCCTTCGCTATCGCTCTTGATCGTGTTGTCGTAATCCGCCCCCGAGATGTTCTGACTATCTGAGCCTGACATATCCCCTTCATAAAGGAGACGGTCGATTCAGCGGAAGGGGTTGGGGTTTTAGTAAACCGAGCTTATTGGGTCGGTGGGACGAGTGTTATAGGAAAAGTAAAAGAAACTTAAACGAAGGAAGAAAGAAAGGACTTACCGGAGGATAAAACTTGGGAAACGGTTGTGGGGGTGCAGAATCCGATCGATCTACAGTGTTGATGGCTCGGGAAGCTCCGATCGATTTCCACAGTATGGTAAAAGTAGAAATGAACCTTGCAAGGGCCTATTTATAGGAACCCTTTTGGCGGGAAAACCAGCCACTTGTGTGAGGTGACCGTTCCGAATCCCAAGATGCCTGCAGAGCGACACGTGTCTCGGGCGAGGGCAGCTGGGAGGTCGGGGCCGAAGGCCCGGGTGACGTGGTCTTTTCATCCCGACCCGTTTTCTCCCGGACGGCCCGGGCTGGGGAGTTCTTGGTAAGATATATCCCGACCGACTTAGCTTGTTCTCTGCATCATTCAGTACAGTTCAGTTGCCCGAGCACCGTAGCGAGAAGGCGGTCGGTACCGGTCGTCCATATAACCTTGTGTTGACCTTTTTGCTTAGAGGCGTTCGAGTTCGCCCGGTTGATCCACTTCTCGACCGGTGTTCTGCTCGATCGACGCACCTTTGTTCCACATGGAAGCGGTATCGCTGGAGAGGGGCACGTGGCAGCACCTGGCATCGATAGAGAGTGACCACCAGGCTTTGGCACGTGGATGTTGCGTGGAATACATGCTGGTAGGCAGGAGGCTGTTCCCGACAATAGGCTATAAATATCCACGGCGGATAAGGCGAAGGGGACATTTGGAACGATCAAGAGGCTACTTACAGAGCAGCCCGACCGCAGTCAGTCGGCCCTCGGAGTAGTCATTAGATTGTATTAGGTCATCCTTGTATTTACACTATCAACAGAAATAAAGCAAATCGATTTCGATTCTTGAATAATCCTCATCACTCCTACTTCTATTGTAACAAAAGATTCCCTTTTTCTGTGAAAAGGCTCGTAAGTCGTAATAATAATTCATATTTTCTATATGGGCAATTTCTCAATATCTTGTTCTTCGCAAGAAAAGATTTTCTTTGTGCGTTGGTAAAAAAAAACATGTTTTTGGAGGGAGAACTACTATTTCACCAAACATGTACTTATACTCCCTATGTGGCAATAGATGATTAGTTATATTCATCATGTGGGCCCCAATGAAAATGTCAACATTAAAATTTTTTGAGAGAAAATAAAAGTTGAGAGTAGAATTTGGGAGTATGACTATATGAGTAATGTTTTCAGTTATATTGTGTACCATAAATAAATGTTTATTTTTTAATATACTGAAAGTACATTAGATTAGAGAATTGAATTCATTCAGTTACGATAGAATTGTGATTACAAAAGTATATCCGTAACCAAACTGAAACTACTCCTGATAACTAGGCTACACTAAGTCAACTACACCTAACACCATACAATACAATCATATGTTAAAACAACAACAACAACAACAACAACAATAATAATAATAATAATAATAATAATAATAATAATAATAATAATAATAATAATAATAATAATAATAATAATAACACTAAGACACCCCCTCAAGAACAAGGTTGGTGAAGCACAACATTGAGCTTGTCCCGTAGAGTAGCAAAGCGAGGCGCTGGAAGCGGTTTAGTGAAGATGTCAGCAAGTTGATCTGTAGTCGAGATGTAGTTGACAACGAAGTCTCCAGAAGCCACCTTATCTTGGAGAAAGTGGTAGTCGATCTCAACATGTTTAGTACGCGCATGGAAGACCGGGTTCGCACACAGATAAGTTGCTCCAAGATTGTCACACCATAAGGACGCGGGCTCACCAGAGTGTAGACCTAACTCCTGTAACAAAGAGACAACCCAAGTGATCTCAGCTAATACGTCAGCAAGGGCTTTATATTCTGCCTCTGTGGAAGACCGAGCGACGGTGCGTTGCTTCTTGGATAGCCAGGAGATGAGATTAGAGCCTAGGTAGACAGCAAACCCACTTGTATTCTTGCGATCAATAGGACAACCTGCCCAATCAGAGTCAGAGTAGGCCTGTATGCGAGTAGAAAATGATGGTGAGAACCGCAACCCTAGTGAAAGAGTTCCCTTAATGTAGCGTAGGACCCGTTTGACAAGTCCCCAGTGTTCGGTAGTAGGCGAGTGCATGAACTGATAGAGTCTATTTACCGAGTATGCAAGATCAGGCCGTGTGATGGTGAGATACTGAAGAGCGCCGACCACACGTCTGTAATGAGTCGGATTCTCAAACGGCTCATCAGATGGAATGACTGACTTCGTAACAGCTACTGGTGTGGCAAGAGGCTTGCAGTCAACCATTCCAGCTCGTCCCAAGAGATCAGTCATGTAACGTCGTTGAGAAAGAATAATGCAATCACCGTCTGCAATGGTTTCGATGCCCAAAAAGAAATGTGGAGTTCCCAGATCGCGGATTTTGAATGCGGATGCAAGTCGTTGCAGCAAAGAGGCGACTAACACGGCATCATTGCCCATCATTATGATGTTGTCAACATAGACGAGTAAGAAAACCCGGGAATCACCTGCTGTGTAGTAGAACAAGGAGACATCGGTTTTGGAGGATTTGAAACCTGCAGACAATAGAAAATCATGTAACCGCTTAAACCAGGCTCGTGGGGCCTGTTTTAAGCCATATAGCGAACGTTGTAGAAGACACACATGCCCGGGATTGGTCGGATCCTCATATCCCGGAGGTTGCTTCATGTACACAGTCTCTGCCAGGTGACCGTTCAAAAAAACATTGTGAACGTCGAGCTAGCGTAGCGTCCATTGTTTTGACACTGCAAGAGAGAACAACATACGGACTGTAGTGGGTTTAACCACGGGACTGAAGGTGTCAAAGAAGTCTTCTCCGGCCACCTGATTAAACCCCTTAGCCACGAGCCGCGCTTTATAACGCTCCACCGTGCCATCTGACTTGCGTTTGGTGCGGAACACCCACTTGCACCCAATAATATTCATGTGAGGCTCGGAGCAACAAGTCGCTACGTATGATTGTGGAGTAGAGCATTGAACTCCAGATCCATTGCTTCACGCCAATGTGTGTGACCCACGGCTTGGGAGTAGCACGTTGGGTCGGTGGTGACAGTTAGGGCTTGAAAAGATTCATCTGTGCCCTTAGTCATATGGCGTAGGCGCATGACATGGTCCCGACTCTGTGGGACAACCCTTCTCTTGCGTGTCCTAGCAGGTGCAGTGTGAGTTATAGCCAATGCAGGTGGCTCCTGCGCTAGTGGCACGGGCTCGGGCTCAGCATGCTGTAGTACCTCATTAGGTGCCACTACTAGAGGGAGAGCAGGTGATACTATAGGGCCAGCAGCCCAAGGCAAAGCGGGCGGTGATGTCTCAGCAGTTGTATGCCTTGTAGAAAAAGGGAAAACAGTCTCGTTAAATCGGACATGACGACAGATATAGGTTTTCCCACTTGCCAGATCAATGCATCTGTATCCCCTAAAGCTAGGTGGGTAACCTAGAAAGACACAAGGACTAGACCGGTATTCTATCTTATGACTGTTGTAAGGGCGTAGATATGGAAAACACCGGCACCCAAAGACTCGAAGAAAAGTGTATGGTGGTGGTGTTTTGAAGAGACGGGTGTAAGGAATTTCAAAGTTTATAGCTGACGAAGGCAAATAATTTATTAAGCAGGTTGCTGTTTCGAAAGCATAGTCCCAATAATGTTGGGGGACTTTGCCTTCAGCTAATAAGGCAAGGCCTATTTCAACAATGTGCCTGTTTTTACGTTCTACCCGTTCATGGGTATAGGCACACGACTGGCGATGACTTATACAAAGAGTTTGGAAAGTGGTGTGTAACTTCCGGTACTCACCCCCTAAATCGGATTGAACAGACTTGATAGAGCGCGAGAATTGCCGCTCTACCATAACACGAAACAAGTCAAAGATTTTATAGATGTCAGATTTCATCCTTAATGGATAAAACCAGCAGAAGCGTGAAAAATCGTCTACAAAAAGTACAAAATAATGGAAACCATTTGTAGACATTACAGGTGATGGGCCCCATATATCTATATATACTAAGTCTAGTACATTTTCACTCATATTGGGAACCTTATCTAATTTAAACCTTGTTGACTTGCCAAGATGACATACAACACACGATTCCATGGGTTCATTTTTATTTGGAATGACCGGGCACTTTGGAAGAATTTTATTCAGAAGTTGCTTATGTGGATGACCAAGCCTGCGGTGCCACATCGTGGGAGTGGCCCGGGAACTGACGAACGCTAGATGACACCGGGAGACCGGGAGTTTGTATAGGCCGCCAGTGGTGGGACCCTTAAGCAGAATTGCCTTGGTTGTTGAATCCTTCACAAAAAAACAATTAGAATGAAATTCAACGAATACATTATTTTCAGACGTGAATTTTTTTACGGATAACAACGGAACAGACAACGACGGAACATGTAATATATTTGACAAATATAATGGTTTTGAACTAGATGGAAGAGACGCATGACCAACACGTGAGATCACCAAACCTGCGCCATTACCAACACGCAAGACATCGGACTCGGTGTACTCGTCCGAGTGGCTCATCATTCCTGCATCCGGTGTCGCATGGGCAATCGCCCGGCATCGCCGGAGATCGCAACATGAGCCTGCGCCGGCGGCTGTGTATTATAGCGTTTGAAGCAGTATACTGCCGTGTGACCGTGAGACCTGCAAATTTGACATCGAGGTGCTCCACGACCACCACGGCTGCCACGATTCTGCCCGCCACGATTGCCACGCCCACCGCGGCCTTGCGGACTGGAGGACTGCCTTCTGCCACTGCCACCGTGCTGCCCACGCCAGGGACTGGCGCACATGGCAGTGATACTGTCGGAGTCACTCACGGCCGGATAGTCATCCACGAGTATAAACTCGTGGGCTTGGAGATGATCGGAAAGATGCGCCAATGTGACTGGAGAACCCGACGCCGTGAGGGAAGCTGCCATGTCTTTAAGCTCCGATCTCAATCCCTTGAAAACATAAAGATTTTTTTCCATTAGGGATAATGGCCGGCCGGCCTGGGCTAGGGCCTCCACGAGAAGCTGAGCACGGCCTAGGTACTCGGCGGTGGAGGAGTGGCCTTGCCGTAACACCTGGAATTGCCCCAATAGGTTGAGGCACCGCGCTTGGCTTGAGGACCCGTGAGCACTGGTGATGGAGGACCATACGGCGGCGGAGGTTTCTTTGCCGACGGCGAGATGGAGAACTTCATCCGCCATGGAGGAGACCAAGAGTGACAAGATGGACTGGTCTTGCTTTTCCCAAGCCTTGAAAGCCGGATTGGGAACGACGGAGGCAGTCGCGTTGGAGGCAGCATCGGTCGACGGCACGGTGATAGTAGCCGGTGGACATGGCAGACTACCATCGACGTATCCCAACAACTCCTGGCCGCGGAGGAACGGGATCAACTGCGTGCGGCAAAATAGAAAATTGCGATGCGTCAACTTCATGCTCACAAAATGGTGAGCGCCGGAAAGTGCGTTCGCGCCTGCCGGAGATGGAGTGCTGGTGGCGGAAGCAGTTCGGTCAGACGAGCTTGACGACATGGCTGGACAAAGTCCGGTCGGAGGGGGAAGATTTTTGGCCGGTGGTGTTTACGGGTGGGAGGGGGAATTTTGCGGTGAGGAGAGAGAACCGATACCTGACTGATACCAGATTAGAGAATTGATTTCATTCAGATACGATAGAATTGTGATTACAAAAGTATATCCGTAACCAAACTGAAACTACTCATGATAACTAGACTACACTAAGTCAACTACACCTAACACCATACAATATAATAATAATAATAATAATAATAATAATAATAATAATAATAATAATAATAATAATAATAATAATAATAATAATAATAATAATAATAATAATAATAATAATAAAAATAATAATAATAATAATAATAAAATAATAATAATAATAATAATAATAATAATAATAAAAATAATAATAATAATAATAATAATAATAAAAAAAAAATAATAAAAATAATAATAATAATAATAATAATAATAATAATAATAATAATAATAATAATAATAATAATAATAATAATAATAATAATAATAATAATAATAATAATAATAATAATAATAATAATAATAATAATAATAATAATAATAATAATAATAATAAATAATAATAATAATAATAATAATAATAATAATAATAATAATAATAATAATAATAATAATAATAATAATAATAATAATAATAATAATAATAATAATAATAATAATAATAATAATAATAAAATAATAATAATAATAATAATTAATAATAATAATAATAATAATAATAATAATAATAATAATAATAATAATAATAATAATAATAATAATAATAATAATAATAATAATAATAATAATAATAATAATAATAATTAATAATAATAATAATAATAATAATAATAATAATAATAATAATAATAATAATAATAATAATAATAATAATAATAATAATAATAATAATAATAATAATAATAATAATAATAATAATAATAATAATAATAATAATAATAATAATAATAATTAATAATAATAATAATAATAATAATAATAATAATAATAATAATAATAATAATAATAATAATAATAATAATAATAATAATAATAATAATAATAATAATAATAATAATAATAATAATAATAATAATAATAATAATAATAATAATAATAATAATAATAAATAATAATAATAATAATAATAATAATAATAATAATAATAATAATAATAATAATAATAATAATAATAATAATAATAATAATAATAATAATAATAATAATAATAATAATAATAATAATAATAATAATAATAATAATAATAATAATAATAATAATAATAAAAAAAAAAAAAAAAAAAAAAAAAAATAATAATAATAATAATAATAATAATAATAATAATAATAATAATAATAAATAATAATAATAATAATAATAATAATAATAATAATAATAATAATAATAATAATAATAATAAATAATAATAATAATAAATAATAATAATAATAATAATAATAAATAATAATAATAATAATAATAAATAATAATAATAATAATAATAATAATAATAATAATAATAAATAATAATAATAATAATAATAATAATAATAATAATAATATAATAATAATAATAATAATAATAATAATAATAATAATAATAATAATAATAATAATAATAATAATAATAATAATAATAATAATAATAATAATAATAATAATAATAATAATAATAATAATAATAATAATAAAATAATAATAATAATAATAATAATAATAATAATAATAATAATAATAATAATAATAATAATAATAATAATAATAATAATAATAAATAATAATAATAATAATAATAATAATAATAATAATAATAATAATAATAATAATAATAATAATAATAATAATAATAATAATATAATAATAATAATAATAATAATAATAATAATAATAATAATAATAATAATAACAACACATTATTTGTATATTGTTTAATATTTAATAGTATACCAAATAATGAACATTCATTACTCAAAGTAGTATTGATCTCAACTACTTGAGTTTGAATCTAATGTGTCTTGAATCTTAGCTCAGTATTTCTGTTGTTGAAAACCCAAATTCTCCAATTCCATAACCACCATGATGTAATTGCGAAGGTAATACTTCGATTGTGCTTACGACTGTCTCTAAAGAAACCATTGATACCAGCGTCTAGCCAATCTTTAAAGGCTAAGCTTTAATTTGTGTGCTCTGCAGCATGTTGGGGAGGAGTATTTCCCAGACCTCTCTCGCTTTTGGGCACTCCCGAAGAATGTGTTCGATTTGCATTGTACAAATCTCACAGTCATAGGCGCTGTTGCTAGTAAAACCACGTTTCAGCCTGTTCTCATTTGTCATCAATCTATCGTGTCTTGCCAGCCACATGAAAGTATGTATACGGCTAGGAACCTTT